TGTGTGTGTGTGTGTGTGTGTGTGTGTGTGTGTGTATAGGTGTGTGTATATTTGTATGAATCTGTATATGGGTTCATGAGTGTTCATATGGGTGTGTGTGTGTGTGTGTCGACGTGTGCATGTCTACGTACTCCGTGTGTGTGTGTGTGTGTATGTCTATGTACCCCGTGTGTGTGTGTGTGTATGTCTGTGTGTATATTGCCTATGTGTGTGTATGTCTGTGCTTGTGTCTGTGTGCGTATTTCTGTATATGTCTGTGTGTCTGTGCCTGTCTGCTGGTCTGTACCGATTTTTTCAGTGTGTAAATCATCGGATACCTTCCAAGAGGATGTGCCATAGAATCGAATCGAACCACCAATAAGTTCCCAGTAGCGTGGCGTGGCACTGGGTGATGTGGACAAGCCCACGTGGCTCGGCTCGGCTCGGCCTGGCCCATCCCCTGTGGATCGATGCGTTTCGTGATCGATTTTTTTTTGCCAAAACTTGACATTTCATTGATTTTTTTGCGTTTTTTGCAGCTTTAAAAAGAAAGCAAAGATATGGCTCTAGATGTGTGCAGGCCATCGACGCACTAGGTGTATATTTTATATATCATCTTCATCAACCGGTGTGTACGCACAGCAGTCATCGTTCATCGCCATTCAAACACACAGAGCTAGTGAAGAGAAGCATTGATTGCTGTGCCGAGCCGAGAAACTCCTCCAAAAAATGGTCGAATACGGCGTAAATGTTACGAACAAATTCGGCTTCTTGTCCGACGATGGTAATTTCTATGTTAAAATTTTACTTAAAAATTTAAAAGTTTGAGAGATTTTACTCTAAAACTTGAAAATCACGAACTTTTATGTTAAAATTTTACTTAAAAACTTAAAAATTTAAGAGATTTTACTCAAAAACTTGAAAATTACTTGAAAAACTTATAATTTCACTTGAAAATTTATTCCTCTTTCCCATTCTTCTCTCTGAAAAAGACGACAGAAGTAGTTCTGAAGTGATAGGCAGTGTATGCCAGGCCAAGTAGTTGACAATCACTGGCAATGCTTGCAATAACTGTGCCTTTCTTTCACATTGTTGCTTATGCAAGCAAGCTGATGGCGATTTTGTTGACTTTCTGGCCCCGGGACTGCACCAATCCCTTGTCGAAATCAGTTCCTCTCGTTTTGATGGTCGCTTACAAGCAAGCTGATGGCGGTTTTGACTTTCTGGCACGGGGACTACACCAATCCCTTGTCGAAATCAGGTTCCTTCGTTTCGCCGTAGAAGAGAATGGTTTCGAGCCTGGCCAAGACATCCAGTCTTTGAGTATACCGCAGGCGGGCTTTTGTAAGGCAGTTTCCCCAAAACATCCCTCAGTCTTTAAGGGGGGCTGTGTTGTTTGTTGGGACTATTTAAGTGGCACTGGATCAGCCTGAAGGTCTGCACAGCTAAAGGTCGAAAGATCCAGCAAAGTTGCTCTTGACGTATGGAAGCATCCCAGTAACTGCGATAAACGCTTCAGCAAGTTTTACCTGAAATTTCACCGTTTAAAATTTCTTTCAACTTTCATCTTATGTAGTTTTGTGGATTTTATCTCCTATTGATTGCTTTAAAATACGAAAGTATCGCGCCTGGAAAAAGAGGATTGCTAGATTCGTAGCTATCCGGCTGCCTGAAATAGTAGAATAAGAGGGATAGGACTTAAGTGTCATGCGTAAGAAGACATTTTACGATAATGCAGTCTCTCTGTGTTTCATCCCTTAGCTCTAAACACCGAAACGCAACTTTGTGTGCCGATAGAAGCGGGAATCATCAGTACAGCCTCCTATCCACCAAGTTCTGAACGGTTTGATGAAGAAAAAAAGAGGAATGGGTTAGATTAGGGAATCCTCATTTTTCGCTGGGCATCGTCTGCTTCACATCTGTTGACCGGTTATATATTTTTCGGAAAAAATTTTTATTCTTAAAAAATCTGGGGTTTTTTTTTCGGATTCACTGCTTTTAAGCCACTAAACATTGCTGCTGCTCTGCCTTTGTAACACATTGATAGCACTGGGCAAACAATTCAGTGTTGTCCTTAGGCGGTGCCCTATTATTTCTACACAAAGTACATATTTTGATTGTTTTTTGCAGCAACAGCATTTCCTGTCCCGTTGTGCATTTAGCTGTTGTTTGCAGAGGTGGAAGATCCGGAAGTGATCCTGAGGAAGGCCGA